AGGTCTGTCACTTTTTTCTTCAGCTTTTACACCCATATCTGAGTATGTTTCTACATTGGAGGGGGAGGGGTGGAGGTTGGAGGAGGAGTTTAGAAATTAGGAAATAATACAATAATCCCCTCGAACTTGCTTCAAGTAAAGATTGATTTGACAGTTTTCCTTTTCTTTTAGAGGGAGTAGACAAGAGAAGGTCCCTTTAATAGAATTCAACTTCCGTAAAATTGAGGAATGACAAGTGATGAGGTTGACCTTAACCTCCAGCTGAGCTTTGTTAGCTGCCTCCAAAGCTGAGACAAAAAGCAATTCAATTAGGAAAGAGACTCTGAACAGCATTAATGTTTGAACAAGAAGCACATCCTTTTAAAAAGGTAACAAAATATTGGAAAGGGCTAAAGTTTAAAATTAAGTGATAAATTGTCAGACAGCAAGGACTCAGATCAGTTTCCCAGGAAGACACATCCAGTAACATTTAAAGCTGCCTAAATTATCTAAGATATCCACATGGAGCTGGTTGATGTAAAGCCCATTAGGTTTCAACCTGATTGACAAGATTTTTAAATGTATCTGATTTTGTGACAAGAAACATTTCTGACCAAACCTTGGGCAATATTTATATCACTTATCTTTTCTACAAAAAATGTGAAGAAAAGATATTTATAATTGACAGATTAATAATAATAAACTTGCCATTATGACATCACTTTTCCTTTTGTCTGTATATTCATGAGAAATAATATTTATATCACTTGTCTTTTCTACAAAAAGTGTGAAGAAAAAATATTTATCATTGACAGATTAATAATGATAAATTTGCCATTATGACATCACTTTTCCTTTTGCCTGTATATTCATGAGAAACCACTGGCTAAATTTTGTCACTCACAGGGAATTAACAGTTGTGAAAGGTACCAATTTAGTGTGTTACTTATCTTCAATTGCTACATATCCATTGATATTTTTCCATGACCAGTTTGTTCATGCACAAACATATTTCAGGTATGTTAATTTGTTCTGTCTCTATCAAGTTACACTTTTCCACTGTAGTTTTGTTCCATAAATCCTTAAAAAATATTTCCTGTTATTCTTATCTGATGATGGCAATATTACTAAAAAAAGCTTCATACAACCTGAAGAGATGGTTAAAGATGTTTTGGGTACAAAAGCATTATTTGAAAATTTTGCATCATATCTGTTTGCACCTTGTCTATGTCTATTTATTGCAGATATCAATGAAGTTAGCAGAAAAAGAATACAAAAATAAGCCAGAGATTACAGGTCATGGGTGCAGCACAGAATTCTATATTTGTGCACAAAGTCCTTGGAAGCAATGCTGAACTTACTGAGTAAATGGTGAAACTCCCAAAGAATTAGGTGGCTGATTAGCAACATTTATACAACAGTGTTTCAATGCTAATGTTTGAAATAGTGTTAGTATTCTCCTCCCTGTAAACTACCAAAATTATGATCTTTGAAAGCTTAAATATTGGATACATAAAATGTATTTACCTGTCTACTGTAAACCTGACAGTAAAAATTTTAAGAGGTTTTAAATTGTTAATAATTCAATTCATAGAGAACGACTAATCAAGCTATAAAAATAAATCAGAGCATGTGACTAGCATAAAATAGTGCCTAAGTTATCTTTCATCAGAGTACACCTGTGTAGGTAAGTCAGGCCAGATATATAACTTCTAATTTTGCCATAGAGGACAATGTTAATCAGTAGAGAAAAATGAGTCTTGGCACCCACCATTTCACTGAATTGAACTGTTCAGATTACATCTGTCATGACTGTATTCCACTGTAACTGAGACACCTTCCATGAGCTCTTCCAGTAGGACCAGCAATAGTGAGGCTGCACCTGGAATGCTGTGTCCAGGTCTGCACCCCTCAGCACAGGAGACGTGGAACCCCTGGAGCGGGTCCAGTGGAGGGTGACAAAGATCATCAGGGGTCTGGAGCATCCCTCCTGTAAGGAAAGGCTGAGGGAGCTGGGCCTCTTTGGCCTTGAGGAGAATGACTAAGAGGGGACCTCTGCTGTTGAATTGGAACAAGTTTTTTTCCTTCTCTGATAATTAAAAGTAAGTGTTAAAAAGCAGCAATATTGATCTTGGAAAAAGAAGACTTAAAAGATAGCAGTGCTCTAGCATGGCTCCCAGCTAGCTATCATTATCAGAGAACAGGAGATTTTTCATTCAATTAGTCTACCAGGATGCCATTGCTCTGTTAGTTTTATTTAGGGTTTAGTTTCAGGGAAAGCAAATATGAAATGCTATCTAAAGAGAGCCATCTATGCTTCGAAGGCTTTTTGTAATTGCTGGAAAAGTAGGGATATACCATGGTTTTTCTGAGCTTAAGAGACCTCTCCCAATTACACTTTTGTGTCACAGTTAACTAGGTAATGATACTGTCAACTTAGTGGATATTTGACTTCTCTTCCAGATGACATGAACAGTAAAGATGCCTTTTGAATAATTGGTGTGAAGGGGGCTTTTGGCAAAGTTTTCACAGAGTCTTCTATGAAAATGCATATTCAAGAAAAGAAGTCTGAGATAATGGAAAAAATTAAGCAGATTCATTGTTACACGGGTTGTATGCAGCCTGCATGTTTTAAATGTTTTATTTCTTTATGCAGCATATCAAAATATCTTTCAAATATTGAGTTATGATTGTACTTTTTTCCAAGTTTCAATTGGGGTTTAAATGACTCATAAGCATTAGTAAACTTGAAATCACTAAACCATGAAAAACATTTGCTTTGACAGAAATGTCTGGTGATAAAATGTTCAGTTAGACTAATAAACTAGTTTTTATGTTTCAGCTTCAGAAGAATACAGCAAAGAATGAACACAAGGGTAAATCACAATATCTACTGAAGACATAAAGCTTAAAATTGGATATCAGAGCCAACTATTTTAATTGAGATTTACTTAAAGCAGATGAGACTGAATATATTGAATTACATTTCTGTGTATCTTTTTACATGTTTTTAATTAAACAAAAGTAGAATCTAATTATGTCTGAAAACAGCAGATTAGAAAAGAGCAAGCAAGCTGTCCCAGCAAAGGAATGATAACAGCAATTTGAAAGTGGAAAGGCTTCATATCTCCCTTCTTGTACTCTGTGAGCTTGGAGTTGCAGCTTTCCTTATTTCTCATGTCACTCTCTTGGATATTAGGATAGGCTGCAATTCTCATTATATCAAAACAATTGCTGGAATCAGTGAAAATTTTGCTGCAGAAAAATGGCCAGCAAATTGGGTTCAATACACAGAAACTTTTTTTTTCTTCTTTTTCTTTCTTCTACACTTATCTATCTCATTTTTGAGATTAGTATCTTCTTACTAATTAAAATAATATTGATTTGGTCTGCTTCAGACTAATTTTTATCCACTGAAAGTATATGTTCAGTGCTGATATCTTTTAAAGAATTATTCCTTATAGAGTCTGTTTCTTTTGACTTTTCCTGTATCTAGAAGGCAATGTTATGATGCATATACCTCAGTGTCTCCAGGTAATTTAACCTCTATATTATTTTATTATGCCTCTTTTTGTATTTCTTCCTCTTTTATTAAATATAAAACTTTCTTAGACTCAGCGAAAGCTGCCTCATTCATTACAAGAAAATGCTGTTCGAAAAATCAAGTTTGGAGAATATTGATATTAATAAACTTCCTAGGTAGTAAGTTGTTGGAAATTTGTCTGTTAATGGGATCGTGTTGCCATTCCATTTATTATAGTATCAATAGTATTGATTTCTCCTTTAGGAGTTTTGTGTCTTCATCTTCTTTTTCACACAATCTATATTTGCAGTACAGTTCTTTTTGTTTGGTAAGACGGCTGTTTTTCTTTCAATATTTTCAAGCCTGTCTTTAAGCAATTAAAATTTAGTTTCAGTTCAGAAACATATGCATGCATGAGAATTAAATAAAAATATTATTACATAAAATATATGTATTTAATAATCATATTTAGTAAGATGTATTTTTATCCATATTACTGTAAATTTTTATGTTACAAAAAGATATGAGTTCAGATATGAGATTTGGCATTCATTGTATTTTAGCTGTGTCATGCTGTTATGGTATCCTGATGCTGTGACACTAATTTTGAAGTTTTCTCTGTTTGCCCACATGTCACTTCTGCCTCCCTCAAGGTTATGTCGAAATTATTAATATATAGCCAATTGCAAAAGTGGTAAATTATCCAAAAAACTGTTGCATGAAAATGGTGAACATTATGTGCTTCAACTGATAGAGAAACTATTTATGTGTATTTAATGTGTCCAAATATTCATTAGTTTCTACTTGTAAGTAATTGAGCCTTTTCAAATTTCAGAATTTATATAATCACATAAAACAAAACAATAAACTAAAATAGTACATCAAATAAAAAAAATCAAGTTCTGCTTTTTTTTTTCTTTCACATAAAACCATGACTGTATATCTATGTGATTTTGATTTGGGCTAAAATTTATTGTTCATTCAGATTAAAGTGTTTTGAATTCTCACTATACTAATGAGATAACTAAGTGAAAACTGTTAATGCTTATGTACATCCACATTTGTCAATTTTAGCAAAATATCCTTGCACAGTATCCATGGTAAAGGGATCCTGACAGTGTATAAGAAAACTAATACTAATTTAATGAAAAAATATAACTAAGAAAAATAATAACCATGTGTTGTCCATGTCTAAAATCAGACCTTAAATTTCCTAAAATATTACATAAGTTAAATGGCTTCCATAATCATATTCATCTAGGAAAGTGATGCAGATGTCAGAGGAGATTTACCAAAGGAGGTGGAGAAGGTGGCTAAAATGGTCCTCTGGTCAGCACTTAATAGTAAGATACATGTCCATGCCATTATTGGAGAAAAAGTTTTATTCCTATGTCAGAATTTTCTCAGAAAGATGTATTTCCTACATAATACTACTGTGTATATAAACAGCTTAAAAGCAAAGTTGTTCAGGAATTTACATTAAATTTTTCTTTTTTAGAAAAGAATGATCTATTGAAAGCAAGATTCTGAGGAAGATTCAGATGTGCTCCTATGCTAGCATACTGCAGAAAGATGAAGAACATGTGGAAAAATACTGAACACCATATGGGAAATACAGGTGCAAAACTATTCCTCTTCTAAGAGTTTGTCATTTTGCAGGTAGATGTCTTGGGGGTTAAACCTTTGGATAGCCTATTCCATTCACCCTTAGTGTTGGCTTATTCCACACTTTCAGCTCTGGTTGAAAGCCACAGAAAACTTGTGATGTTCTTATCCAGGCAGCCAGTGATGTATGTGATAAAAGTATCTTCTGAACAGTTGCCACTTTGGTGGAATTGTGATGCCAGACATCGTTTTTGTTTGTTTGTTTGTTTGTTTTTTGCATGTGAGAAGCCTGTAAAGTTAAGAGTGTAATGTCAATGTCTATGTCACTGCTCTCTGCATCACAGAAATGCTTCTCTGAGGACTATTTTGGGAATGTATGTTGTCACTAGACTATATTAAGACTCAAAAAACATTTCCTGAACTTTGCAGATATGGGAAAAATATTTGTTTTATTGATTATGTTAATTCAATGCAAAAAGTTTAAAAGATTTGCTGTATAATACTTATATATAATAAAAGTAATATAATATATATATAATACTGTCCTTATGTCTTTCTGAGCATTCTAATTATCCACAGTACTCCTCTACAGAATTTGATTTTGTATTTTGTTATTTCTCCCCAGATGTATTACCTTGTACTTTTCCAAGCTGAATCATCTCTATTTTTTTCCTGACTGTATTTCTACCATCACTTATTAAATTGGTCCCACTGCTTCTCTCAAAAATAGGTGGTTTCTTTACATGCTATTCTTTCAGAATGTAGAATTCAAATAAAAGAGATGCAAAACTGAGTAATGATTTTGTGATGATATGGTAAAATATGTCTCTGTTAGAGGAGTATTGAAAAATGTTTTGAAGTAATAAACTTGTTGACAATAAATAACCTATAAACTAAAATATCATTTTAGAGCTTTTTAAACAGTCTCCTTGCAACGAGGAATGCTAAACATATTTTGTTACCAAGTTTTTCAAAAATGCAGACTACAAATTCTCTGCAAGTACAATCTGCAAAACAGAGACTTGCTGTGGGAAGATGACTGGGGGTGAAATTAGTGAAATCTGCAAAGTTATATTCACATTCTAACATAATGTGAATATAACGTTACAGATAATAGGGAGTGAACAGGTGAAGTTGCTACTTCCTGCATGGACTGCATTTGGCATTTGGCACAATGATTCCACATGCAACACAACCTGCACCCTTAAGCACATTGTAAGAAGGATGGAACAGAGGGTGGAGCAGAGTGGATACACTGCAGCCATGCTCTGTTGAAATCCTTACAGGGATTGGAACTTGATGGCATAACTGTGGCTGATAAACTGCGTAGAACCTGCCAACCAAGGCAGATAGGAGATGTCCTGATGAATCAGCAATTGTGGCAAAATATTTTCCTGCAAATAAAATTTCATTATAATCCAATTTTAATATTAACATATGCCTCCATCCCAACGCTACCCACCTCCAAGGTACAAACACTCGTCAGTGGGTGTGTGCTCTATATTTCATTAACTATATCTTTAGCAGAGAAGTGACAGATTTTTCTACTTAGCAGTAACACAGGTATAGGACTATAGTCACTCAAGCTATACCTAAACACAAAGAAATGGCATAAAGGTAAGTTAAGGATGGGGAAAAGTTAGAGACTATTCCATTCTAGCTTCTGTGCTCAGATGACAGGCTGAGCATTTCTTTTCCCTTGTAGGGATGCATATGTGGTAAGAAACTCTATGCATGTTCTATTATCTCAAGCTACTTTCATTGGTAATTAGAGCTTGTCTGTATATTGCTTTAAATACATTTAAATAACTGACTGCAAAGTCAGTTACTATCAATGTCAATTTTCAAACCTTAACCTGCTACAATTTTCTATTATCAGAGTGTCTATTAATTAGGTGAGTTATTCTGTAAACTGTTTTCCCTAAGTCCTGCAAGGGCCCTAGTAGTCATAAGCAGTCAATAACATACTCAGCAAAAGTGGCAAGATCTGTTAAGGAGTCTCTCTTTCAAAATTGTAATAAAAGATTAGGCTCTGATGTACTATTGGTACGTGTGCTTGAACAAGTCAATCAAATTGCCCCCAGATAGAGTGGACTATCAGTGGAGTCCCCATAACAGGATACTGACAGGTGGATAGGTCACAGGGGTTTTGGCTTTCCTGGGGCATTAGCAGATTGAACAAACATAAAGGGTTCAAGGAAAGCTCACTTTCATGTGACATAATAATATCAAGATTGTGTTCCTCTATACAGGCGTTTTCAGAATGAGACTGGTTGCTGAAGGCATTCTGTCCTGGATGAGGAACTTATGTAGCTCCAAATATGCCCTTTCACAGAAGACCAGTAACAGAATGGTTTTTTTCATAATATCTGTAATATTATCACAATAGTTTCTGTTCTTTCTGCCCACTGATTTAATCATGAAATATATTCTTCAGCACTTCATTGTCAGGCATTGGGAAAGTGTTATGCAAATTGTGAGACATTCCTTATTTTCTTCCTTGCTTTGTTGTTTTTCTCATTTATTAGGTAGCAGAGAGAGATGGTGGTAAGGATTTAGAATGAGTGACCTTGTAACTCTGTGTTGGTGAAGAAACTTTTATCATGCATGTTAGTGTGTTTGCTTATAGGCTGGACACCAGACACAGAAATGGAAAGTTTTCCTTGAGATTTACTATGCCTTTGAGAGGGCATAGTAAATCTCAAGGAAAACATCCATTCCAGAAATAACGGTGAGAAATTTTGATGTCTGTTTTCTGAAATGAAGCATTCGCTTTTCCCCCAAGATAATGCTGTTTTCTTTTCAGTATTTGAACACTAATGCATTCTCAGTTTTATTTTTTGTATTGTTGTGGTGTTTAAAAAAATACAACACAAACATGCAGACCTTTTTCTCAGAAGTTTCTCCACAGAAGTTATAAATAAAATAAAATTGTCTGGATGTCACATTAAATGATCCTGCCCCAGAAGTAAAACACATAATTCTTCTTCAGCTGTACAGGAATAAGTGTCAAGTATACTTTCAAAGATTAATGTTTTTTACATTCAAGATCTCAGATATCAAATCAGTTATTTGTTTCCCAGTGCTGTTGGCTTTGTACTTACACTTACTTTCACTGTGAAGAGGAAAAAAAAATTGCTTGTACTTGCACCTTTTCAGTTCAATAACATCTATGTCCCCACCCCCCACCCCAGCTATATTGTATCTATGCCATTATGTTTCAAAACACTTGCCTTCAAAAGCTGTACATACTTAATCACTTGTCCAACCATTATTTTTTGATGCACTAGCAGACTTATCATTATTTCTGTAAGGATTTATTCCTTATGTCATATGTACTGCGGTCAACTTCATCAATGTGAAAGCTATATATATTAAAAAAAAAAAAACAACAACAACAAAAAAAATCAAACCCACCATGGTTTTTGCTCTGTTGTTAATTTATGGATTTTTACTGGTCAGTCTAATACAGACAGATCATTGTTTTTGTGGAATCATTTGATCTGGAAGTTAATCATGAAATTAAATATGTCCTTCCAATTGAATCAATGCAATGAATAAATGTCTCAGTAATGTATATGATAAATACTTACTTTGGTTTTCAGCAAGAAAAAAGACCCCAAACAGTGAGTGGATTTGAAAAAAACATCATCACATCATCAATGTTGAAAGAGGTCCTTAAGATAATTAAGTCCAAACATCAATCCAGCATTACCACTGTAATCCCTAAACCACTAAACCACAACACCCAAAACAGCAAAAATCAGATGGATCAAACACTTCCAGGGATGGTGACTCCACTACCTCTCTGGCAAACCTGTTCCAGTTCCTGACCACCCTAACAGTGAAAACTTTTTTCTGATACCTAATCTGAATCTCTCCTATCTCATTTTAAGGCTATTTTCTCTGGTCCTCTCACTGCAGGACAGCAGAAGAGACTGACCTCACTACAAACTCTTCTCTGCTACTTGAAGAGTGATGAGCTCCTTCCTGAGCATCCTCTTCTTGAGACTAAACAAACCCATCTCCTGCAGCCATTCCTCATAAGATGTGTCTCCTAGATCATCCAGGAGCCTTTTTCCCCTTTGCTGGATAGGCTTCAGTATCTCCATGTCTTTTTAAACTGAGGGGCCCAAAACTGAACGCAGCGCTCCGGGTGTGCCCTCCCCAGTCCCGAGTACAGAGGGCGAGCGCTTCCCTGGCCCTGCTGGCTGCACTATTCCTGATAGGGGCCCAGATGCCATTGGGCTTCTTGGCCACCCAGGCACACTGCTGGCTCTTACTGAGCCAGCTGTCAAACATCACCCCCAAGTCCCTTTCTGCCAAGCAGATCTCAAGCCACTCCTCCCCAGCCCATAGCGCTTCATGGGGCTTCTGTAACCCCAGTGCAGGACCCAGCACTGGGGCTTACTGAACCTCAGCAGTTGTCTTCAGCACAGTGATTCTGTCAAGTTTTCCCTGTAGAGCCTCCCTACCCTCGAGGAACTAGCCTCACCACTCAAATTAAGTACTTTTATTACAATATAAGGAATTTGAAACAAAATGCACTACAAACTAATTAGATCATTATTTTCTAATTCTCCATATGGCTTTTATACTTATGCTGTCATAATAAGAAGCACTATTGAGGAGGAAACATCTGTGCAAAGAGTGGTTAACACTATGAAATGTTAAGAAAAAGGAATGTAGTGAAGAATTATTTTATTATCCCTTATGAACTTTTTATGAAAAGGATTAATTCAAAAGCATATTCATTATTCATAACTGACAACAAACTTTTTATGCTAATCCATTCCAGTCTATAGATGATTACAGTTTGTTTCAGGAGGGGTCATATTCTCTTGTCGCAAAGTAATACAGTGAACCATCACCTTTTTTAAGTGTGTGCATTAGTGCTGTAGCTTTGGGTCACAAAAATTATCTTGGGATTATAAGGCTATTTATTTACTAGCAGGCAAAGTGTATTATCGAAAATTATTTCTACTCTCTGCTCTCATCACCATATAATTTCTAAAAAGAAAAAAATCAAAGTAACTTTAAGATGTTTACTATGTCTTCTTTCAAGGATCTCTGAACAAATATATATTTTTAAAGTTTGTAAAACTTTCAGACAGCATTCTTATTAAAAAATAGCTGAGAAGTATTTTTGGAAGCTAATAACAATGGTTATAAATAATGTCAAAATAAATTTTTCATTTAAAATCCAGCACACACGTGAAGATAGCTTTTGTAAGACCCATTAAGTTTTGACAGTCATTTATCACATCAACATTCCCCAAATGTTAGGAGGAATTATTCTCTGTTCTTTGTATCTTCACAATGTTTGTAAAGACCTGCAAGAATTTATGCTACTAGAGTACAACCTTTGGAGGAATGTTAACTAACTTGGTGTTGATCAAAACTTTTAAAGCAGTGTAGTCAAGGACAAAACTGAATTTACAATGTTATCAGCTAACAGTTATCCACAAGAAAAAATGCTAAAGTTTGGGATGTATAGCTTACTGAATTTTATAGTTACAGAAACCCAGAAGAATTCAACACAAAACCCCAAACAAAAATTAATTAATCTGTTCTTTGAATAAAATTTTGTAAAAATATTTCTCCCAACTCAGGAGGAGTTATTTTCTAAACACTATAAAAATTTGCATTATTGCTTGAACACTCTGACAGTGCACAAACAGATGAAAAGAATGAGTTAACCAGATGTTTTGCTTCATTGTTATTTTTGGGTTTTTTTCCCTAGCTAAAATGACACTCATGTAAAAATTGAAATTAAAATCCCCATTTATCC